CTACCCTTTGCTTGTTATCTGCTTCAACCTCTGCTTGAACCTGTCTACTGCCTACTAATTTCTGACCCAGACTGCCCTCCATTTACTGCTTGACAAGACCCATGCTTGTATGTTGATGGGGCAATCCTGGGGGCTGTGGCTTGGTGCCATTTTGCAGCAAAAAAAAAACTAGAGGCCACTGGGGTTCTCTGCCATCAACCCTTGTGGGGTGCTCTGGTGAAGGCTGATTAATAACTAAACTCCATGCACTGAGTGAGCCTGGGTCACCTGCCAAAGAGAACAGTAGCACTCCTAGAGTTTTAAAAAGATGTGGAATGCTTGCAAGGGTTGACAAAATTAAGGCTGAGATGCAAATAATGAACATTTTTGTTGTCTTCCATAATAGTTAAAGCCACTGATGTCAGGGTTACATCTAGCTGTCCTTATGCAAGGTTGAATTGCAAGGACAAACATTCGTGCAGAAAAAGTATACCCCAGTCCTGTCCCCTTCAGACTGTTTATAGGAGTGACTTATAACTACAGCTTAGGCACTTGTATTGTCATAGAGAACTTGCAGAATGGTGATAAATTGCTTTTCAAACCGATTGTGTTCTAGGATATCAACTGTTATTACCATGAGATGGAATCAATTGTTTGTGTTAATCTAATGATAGCAACATTACCTTACTGAGGGTTCTGAATCCCAATTAATTTGGAGAGTTGATGTTAGATTGATTACTTGTCTAGTTTCATCAGGGGCATGTCTCCCTGGGGTAAATTCTGCTTGATTGCGATGAATATAATCCATCAGGAAAAAAATTAAGTCTTGTGGCTAGTAATTTTATTGTCAATAATAAGTGTTATTGGGTGGTAGTTTTTCAGCATTGCAGTGTCTTTATTTGCTTTTGGTAACACATTGATGTATGCTAATTTATCATCGGGTTTAGGTGACTGCATTTTCAATGTGATAAAAAAAATAGCAATAATTGCTCTGTACATTTATAATACAAGTTCCAAAATTAATCTGGTCAGGGGCATTGGATTTTTAAAGTTACTAATATATCTTAAAGCGGTAGTAAACTCTTAAAAACAAACGTTTCCTGCTGCAAGGGAATATCATAATGTGCTAGTATGCATCACATACTAGCACATTATGGATGACTTACCTTGAAAGAAAGCCCTCCAGCGCTGATCTGTCATTGATACAAAGGCTTCCATCTTCACCAGGTCTTCCTCCTGGGTATGAAGGCTGCGGCCGCATGAATGGCTGAGCCATGGTGATCTGAGCCATGAAAGTCTGCTCTGAAAGTATGGCATGGGCATGCCGTTGCTTCAGAGTGCATTTGCCGGTGAGGTCACCGACTGCTGCTGCTCTCCTAAACGGTGCTCTTTAAAATATACTGAAACTTTATAATACTGGAGTGGATGGTTATTTTCATAGAATCTGGAATACATTTGGAGAAGTATTTTGTTTAATTTTATTTAGCTAGTTCAATCTACAATTCATCTGTGGGCATTTATTTCTAGATCGTCTTTTTTTTTGGTTCTAGCTGGCAGAAATATATTATGTGCAGGTCTAAGGAAGTCTAGTTTTGTGTGTAAAAATTTGCTGAAATTTTTAAGGGGTCTCTTTGTCAATGTTTTTACCAAAGAACTGAAAAAAATGTGACCCTTGAGTGAAAACATTAACAAATTGTCTCCTTTATGTTAATTTGATAACTTTTTATATTTATTTGTTTTTCTAAATTATCAGATCTTTGTGTTTCTCTTTGAAATTTGCACGAAGATTCCTTTGATTATGGTTGTGTGACCTGATTGGTATTTGTCACATTAAAATTTTAGAAGTGATAACACCCTTTTAAAAGTGTGTGTCAAAGTACACATTCTTTGATCTATTCATGAGTATAATTCATGTGCACTTGAATATGTGTAGTATTTACAGACATAGTTTTTCCCCTCCATACATCCACCAGATAGTTGGTGCAATAACCCTGCTAGTCTACTGCTAGATTCAGAGGGCTGTCTGCGACAAGATTTAATTATTGCTGTATTTACCTAATGTATTCAATTATTAGCTGGTTGTTAAGGAGCCTGCACCTGTACACTCTAAAATGTAGGCAACCTTTGCCTAAAAGAAAGCAGAAATGCAAGCAGAAGCTGCAGGGATTGCATGCAAGAAAGCATTAATGGAAGCAGGGATGGAAGCAGAAGCTACAGAAACAGTATGCAAGAAAGCACTGATTGAGGCAGTGGGTGGCCTGCTGTGAACCACCCATCACTCATAGATGCTGCTGATGGGCCAGTGCCCACCAGCATTGCCCAGCACAAGCCAGCTGATAACCTGGAGATGCCGGCTTCGCCCTCCAGTCCTGCACAATCTGTCCAGAAGAAGACAGTCAGTAAGGACACCCAGTCCCCAGGTGAGCCTGTGGAGAATGTCACTGGTGGGGAGGTGAATTTGGGGTCTCCTAGGATTTTAGCAAAGTTTGGGCCCTTAGAAGTGGAGGAACAGAAGGACTGGTCCCCTGAGGATTCTGAGGAAGAGTAGGATTGGGGAGATACCATTGAGGACTACGAGTCACTGACAGGGTTGTCAGGAAGCTCATGTACCTCAGACTCTGCTGGACCTTCCTGCAGGACTGAGCCCATCTGCATGCCCCTTCACCAAAGTCAGAATTTGCTGCACCCTGGCTTTGGACCAGGAACTCCAAACTAAAAGTGCTGATATGCAGGGACCCAGATCCCTATGTTTACCCAGGAATGGGGAGCAAGGACACATTACTCAGGTTCTCCAGACTCCAGAGGGCCATACAGAAGAGGGTGGCCCTGGAGTAGGGATGGGACTACCATTACACTCCTCAGGATGTAAAGGACATAGTGGACAGCACCAGACAACAGTGGGAGGGCTACTTAGTCTGGGACTACCTTCATGTCCTCAAACCCTTGAGGGGAACTTATCTTACTAAGGCCTGTTGTCGAATCCTGGACATCAATCAAGAATAGGGCAGGGGTCAAGCCATCTATTAGGACAGGGTGGTGGTCATGAGGCAGAGAGGCTCAAAGGGACTTACTCCATTACTGCCCAAAAGACTGATGGCTCCATTGTTAAGTTGCCCAGTCCCAAGCAATACTACTAAGGATTGATGCAAGATCCCAACCCGGTAGGCCCTGCTATTTGTGTTTTTTTATTTTTACGAACTAAGCCAGACTTTTTTGCTGTCCCAGATAAGCTGATCTGAGAGTATTTCAGGAGACCACATAGTCTTTATCACTTCTTTAGGTCTCCTTCCCAAGCTATGCTGAAGTGCCTAAAATTTAGTTAGTCAGTGTTAGGGCTGCATTGTGTTTCTTTCATATGCTTTTGTCCACTGTTCTGCACGTTCTCAGGATGGCTGTCTCCCTGCTCCAAGGACAAGAAAAAGATTTCTTCATGTCATGACAGATTTCCCTCAGGGGGAAGGTACTTGATATCCTTCCCTTTAACTTTGTGTACTTATTGCATTTTTTTTTTTTCTGTTGCCTGCTATTAGCAGTAGTAAGCTAGGACCAGGCCGTGTGTATAAATACCTGTACAACTGTATATTATTGAGTATTTATATTTTCTACAATTATTTCTTTATTCACCCATCCAAGTTTGTTCCCTTGTCCCCTCCTATTTTTTCTTTTGTATGGCATGCCCCACTCCTGGGCTCAGAAGACAATTTTGTGTTCCCCCAGCCAGTGAGGACATGGCTGTTTTTCTAGTGGGGAGGGGGGTGAATGTAGTGCCTTTCTAGACAGCCAGGGGGAGCTAGAGTTCAATATTTAGTTAGGAGCGCTAAGTAGCAGCCTGGGTGTAATAATTAGTAGGGTAAAGTTCCCTGATACTGCCCCCTGCTCTAGAATCTTGGAGAAGATTCTAGAGGCAGTGGGCGGGGGTGAGGAGAGGCTGGCCTGCACACTTGGGGGACCCTGGTCAATCCCCAAGCAGGAGGCTTTGCATGGGGCCAGGGCAGCCCTTGTGGGAGAGCCTGCTCAGCAGCAGGAGAGGTCGGGTGGAAGATGGAGAGAGGAGGCTGAGGTGCAGGAGCCTGGTAAGGGGCTCAGTTGGGAAGGGAATTACCTCCAGGCAGTGGTGTTGGAAGAGAGGAAAGCTCAAGGCTCATCGGATCCCAGAGCGAGGACTACCTATGCAGCAAGGAAGGAGCAGCCCAGCAGAAGGCCTGAGAGCAGTGACTGACCCATCAGCTCGCAGACAGGTGACTGAGTGCGTTGACCTATACCTCCTTGTTCAGAAAAGGGAAAGAGGCACTCTAGTGGGCAACTGGATTAGCTTTCTTACCTGAGACTGTCTTACATTAAAAGTGACAGGCACTTGATCCCCTGCCCAGGGATTTCTTTAGACAGCTGATTAGAGGAACATCTGGAGTCTAGGGTTGTACACTAGGAGAGGCTGGCTAGCCGTCCGAGAAGAAGATTTTGCTTTTTAGAGACTTGTACATAGTTCCAGGAAGATTGTCCTCAGTTGCCATTCTCTTGGGCATCCCATACAACCCTTACTCTATCCAAGTTCAAGTTCCCCTAATCCAAAAAAAAACCCAAGCTCAAGAAGTGGTTATTGTCTCCTGGATGGAAGTCTGTGTGGAAAATGCATGTTGCCTGGCTGTGCAGGACTATAGGGACCCAAATCTCTAGTGACTCCTAAGGGAGTAGTGCTCTCTTTCCTTTAAGTTTAAAGTGACCATGTCAACCCAGGGTCACTTGTAGAGATAAGCTTGGGCGTGTTCGGATCCTAGTCTGAACCCATCTGAGCTATCCCACAAGGAAGCTATCACTACACAAAACCAGTCTGAGGCAACCAAGGCATCCCTTGTCCTGCAACAACATATATACATGCCCGTTGTATACAGGCAGCTGTGGACAAGGGATGCCTTGGCCAATTATGATTGGCTTTTTGCAGGGCCAGCTTTCTGGAAGGATAGCTCAGGTGGGTTAGGACTAGGATCAGAACACACCTGAGCTCATCCCTAGTCACTTGTGTACAAAACCAAAGCTTCTAAAATTAGTGAATATATTTCTGTTTCTGCCAGCCTGTAGTTTTAAACGCCTCATCTTAAAGTGGTTCTAAAGGCTGAAGGTTTTTTACCTTCATGCATTCTATGCATGAATTTAAAAAAACCTTCAGAGTGCAGCAGGGGCGGACTGACAACTCATGGGGCTCCCGGGCAATAGGGGATCATGGGGCCCCTGTGTCCTTACCCAAACTCAAAAAAGCCTATGAAAAAGGTACCAGGGGCATCTCATGGGGCCCCCTACTGACCCCGGGCCCTCGGGCAGTGCCCGAGTTTCCAAATGGTCAGTCCGCCCCAGGCGTGCAGCTCCCCCCTCCCTTATGCTCACCTGCGTCCGATGCAGTGGCATGCATAAGAGCAGAAGCTCTCTGTGGTCTCTGCTTCCTCATGGGCTGATACACAGCAGTAGGAGCCATTGACCCAAGCTGCTGTCAATCCACAGCCAGTGAGGAGGGCATGGGGGCGTGGCTGAGCCTTGCTGTGTGTGTCTCATAGGAACATAGAGGCGGCTCAGGAGCAAGCACGCAGGAGTGCCCCAGAGCAAGGAGTTTGCTCTGGAAGCAATCAGCGGGGGCCAAGATGAGGAGGAACAGGGCTGCTTTGTGCAAAACCACTGCACAGAGCAGGTAAGTATAATGTTTTTTGTTTAAAAAATTTTAACCTTTACAATCATTTTAACTGCTCCCTGGCCACTGCAACTATTCCACACACTTTCAGGTGTGTGGAATACCTGCTCTCCTTCCACATGCTTCTACTGGATTGTATGTTACTACAGGATATATGGGCCGCAGAAGGAGCAACAGCATGCAGCAAGGTTAACGAGTATTAAGCAAAACCAAGGGTTAAACAATTACAGTGGCAATAGAACACTAAATCAGTGGTACTTCAACACATGGGCTGCAAAAAAGGTATATTTACTTGTATTTTAGCATGATCATCATTTTAGTATGATTCGTATAAAAGTGCCCTTTAAGTGACAGGGTCACTTTAAGAAAGAAATTTAAATTCAACCTACACATATACCTGAAACAAAGACACAAGAGATTCATGAGTTAACTGCAGACATGTATGCACCGACGATGGCAGCACTAAAGCATCACGTCAGATCTGAATTCACTGGTAAATTAACAGCTGCTGTCTGGAAGATGGTTTAATTACAAATAATGCTCCACAAGCTTTATTCTCTAAATATAATCCTCTATTTCCTACTTGCGTCATCAACACCCTATACAGAGTGTCTTTTTTCACCCATAAGTTTCACCAGCAGCAAGCGACTTTGAGTTAAACAAAAACCTGCTTTTTACCCTACCAGTTATATAACTAAAAAGTAGCTTTGTATTTCTAACAGCAGACATTAAATACCAGGTGAGCAGCTCTAGAACCAAATGATGTTTGAAAAGGCCAGTAAAATAGACACATTATTAGAGTGAGTGGAGGTATTCATTATTGCCTTTGTTTTCTTTGTTCATAGTCTAACATTGTCAGAAATATGTTCTGTACAGTGTCAGTCAGTGGTCAGATATGCTAAATCAATGGTTCAAGTGTTAAATACTGTGATAATGAATGACTTGCCTCTTCATATAGGGATAATGCTGTAGCCTTTTTCAAGGATGTCCTGCAAATGTTCCATTCTGAATAGGGCCATCATAGGTGTGCTTACTTGAAAGCCCAATAACAATTTACAGCCCTGCTGGGACAAAGTTGTTATTCTTTTCTCTTTTCTCACTATCTCTAAATTTTTCTACAAGTATTTTTTAACTTTCCAGTATCTAGTCAGGTTGAGAGGCTCCAGGGAGCTTTTGCCATGCAGAGGAAACTGGCTTTTCAGTCTCCTCATTGTTAAAAGTCCATTTTGGGACCTGGAGCCTGGAGATTTTGTTGTGATCTGGGAGGAGAAAAATCTCCAATTCTGGGTCCAGGTTTTTGGAACCACCAGCACACTAATTAGTCATGTCTGTGCTGAACTTTTAGTAGTGACCTAACCATGGTTCTGGGCTCCACCCTACAGTCAGGAGGTCTCCACCTAGGAGAGACAGGTGGAAGCTATGAGTTGTGGAAAGATAGCAGGAAACAGACCAGAACAGGAATACTGCATGTGTATGCTAGGAGGCTGAATGTGGATTTCTTTGGATGTAAAAGCTATTCAAGTTTATTTTCCCAAAATTTTCCTGACTCCTGGGCAAAGACCTCCTGTTTGCAAGGCTGGAGTTGGTTGACTCCATGCAACACAGATGTACAGCAGTTCTCAGAAACAGTAGTTACAAAACTAAATATTAAGTGATTCAAAGGAAAGCAAAATCTTCAAACATTTTTCAGTATATATAGTGAATGTTTGAGTTTGTAAAGAAGAATACAAACACTGTTATTTTTTTGAACAGTCTAATATTCACTTTTCTTCAATTTTTTTTAGAGGAACAACACAAATTTGATATGTTTCTTCATGTTTTGATTTGGAATAGAATGTGTAGTGTTCCCAATGCATTTGTGTGTATGGAAATAAATGTTATTAGAAGGATTTTGAGCTTTATTCACTTTTTTCAACACACTGCTATTATTTTGAACACAACTGTATATACACACACACATCTAGGTGCAAAGCTAGATAATGTCTCTTTTCATATATAAAAAGGTATACATAGTTATTTCTCTTGGTTAGATGGACCATTTTACCAATTGCAGTTTTTCATGGTCTCTAGTTAAGCATCTCTTAAAACGGATACAGATTCTCAGTTGAGAGCTCATTCTATAGCACACATTTTTTTTTTCTGCTTACTGTTATGTAGTTTAAGCTTGCAGCTGCCTTTCTATTGTCTTATTGTTCTGTCAACTGGGACAATAATGAAAATGTGATGTTACTTTAAAAGGAAACTATACTGGTTTGGGGGTCAAGTTTGTTTTAGGTTTATAACTATTTCAACTCAAATTTTATATACTGTAAATCAGTTTTTCTACTAAATGGATAAAACTTTAGTTTTAAAAATAATATATTACATTGCAAAGTATTCCTAGAGCCCTATGGGTTACCTAAAGAGACAACACAGCAAAATGTCAGGACTTGGCTCACCTGCTGGTGGCACTGTGCTTCCCTGGGTGAAAAGCTGCAGTCCACCAGAAGAAGGGTACTTAAGCCTGTCACTACTAACACACCTTGTGTTAGTGTTTTGATTGCCTTGCTTGCTATCAGATCCATCCTGCTCTTGAGCTATTCTAGCATCCTGTTCCCTTATTGCTGCTTGTTCCTGTACCTAGTCCCGATTCCACCTTTTTCTTGCATTGCCTCTGTTACCCTTGCTTCCCATATTGTATATAGTTTGCTAGGTTTCCATTACTTAGGCATTTTTGGGTTTGGGTCACTTGTTGTTTATGTTCTCTAATTGCTGGATGTGTGTGGCATGTCTTTTTGCCTACTGATAATGTATAATGAAGTATATTTATTAGGTTCCAGTTTCTTTGTGTAGCTACATTTATCTGGTCATCTTCTTTGCTGACTCCTGACATAACACTCATGCCCACTAACAATCAGATCAGCTACACCTGGGAACTGGAAGCCATTTGCTTGGAGTCAAGATGCTTCGAGCAAAGGTTATTTGTTTTGTCCAATTTGTAATAGGAAATTTTAATTTTTGACACTCATTTTGGCTGGACTTCACTGATGAGGAACTGTTTGGAAGCATTCTGACAGCACAGACTTTTTAGTTGATGAGGGCAGATTCTCATTTGTTGAAATACAGCCTTTAGTTTGGGCCTGTTCTAAACTACTATTTCTGGCTACATCTTGTGACCAAGATGTTTTCACTCCTCCTTTTACTATGTTTCAGGCTGGATTTTTGGGATGACTGCTGAAACATTGTACAGGTTCTTTTCTCCAGCAGTATTCAGCCTATTCACAACAGGTGCTGTTAGATTGTATGCTGTGCTGTGCACTGCCTCTAGACATCAAGAGTCTCTTCCTTTGTTACCCTTAGCAACCACACCTGCTGCTGAGTGTTCCCTGTGACAATTGTGGTGCCTGACTACTGCCCTTTTCACCAACTCATGACAAAGGACTGGCCAATCTCTCACTGCGTTGTCACTTACATAACAAAGCCAGTCTTAGCTATACCATGCACATATATTTTCCAGCTCGCGGGACCACAATCTAGGTGCCAGCAGCCTGAGAGCGATTGTCACAGGGTGTAGCTAACTAAGCAATTAACTCTTTAAGCTACCACCACCACCTTTTTACAGAAAAGGAGAAAACTTACAATCTTAGCAATAACAACTATGATTTTAGAATAAACATCTGTGATGCACACTGTCACTATATTGCCCAAAGTATTGGGACGCCTGCCTTTACATGCACATAAACTTTAATGGCATCCCAGTCTTAGTCCGTAGGGTTCAATATTGACTTGGCCCACCCTTTGCAGCTTTAACAGCTTCAACTCTTCTGGGAAGGCTGTCCACAAGGTTTAGGAGTGTGTCTATGGGAATGTTTGACCATTCTTCCAGAATCGCATTTGTAAGGTCAAGCACTGATGTCAGACAAGAAGGCCTGGTTCGGGTCTCTGCTCTAATTCACCTCAAAGGTGTTCTATTGAGTTGAAGTTAGGACTCGGTGGAGACCAGTCAAGTTCCTCCACCCCAAACTTGCTCATCCATGTCTTTATGGACCTTGGTTTGTGCACTGGTGTGCAGTCATGTTGGAACAGGAAGGGACCATCCCCAAACTGTTCCCACAAAGTTGGGAGCATGAAATTGTCCAAAATATCTTGGTATACTGATGCCTTAAGAGTTCCCTTCACTTAAACTAAGGGGCCAAGCCCAACCCCTGAAAAACAAACCCCACACCATAATCCCCCCTCCACCAACCTTTACACTTTTCACAATGCAGTCAGGCAAGTACTGTTCTTCTGGCAACGACCAAACCCGGACACGTCCATTGGATTGCCAGACAGAGAAACGTGATTTATACTCCAAAGAATACATCTCCACTGCTCTAACCTCCCTAGCGGTATGATTATGTCAATATTTCTATGCTCAAAGCGGTACTTTTTTTGCATGGAAATATTTCGTTTTTTTATTGTAGGCCTGTAATTTTTAGGAATAACTCACTGAAATCTGTCCGAACAAGAGTCTAGTAAACATCCTGGGTATGATAAAATTTGAAACACGAAATCATAAATTATATAATAAATAATCAAAAAATAATATAATACATATAATTCAATAATGTAATAAAACCAAAAACACTTACATTTGAAATATAGCGCCAAGTTCGCACATCACTGAGCTCAGTAGCAAAATCATTTTCAGTGTCTGACGAATTTCCCCAGGAATCATTATCACTCAATTCTGCAAATGGTTTTAATTTACTACCACTGTTCTCTAGCTGGTCTAAAACTGCTTTTGACCTAAAGGGACGCTTTCTGGACGCCATGGACTTTTCTCAGTTTCCAGGCAGAAAGAACAGTAAAAATGCAGGCAGGGCACAGGACAAAGCAGTAGGGACAAAATGTATGTGAAGTGCTTTGATACAGTAATGTTTTACAATGTGATATTAGTGTATTGAGTGAATGTCACTTTTAAAATTTTTGAATTTCCCGCCGGTTCTGTCCCCCGTACATCCCATACGTCCCAACGCTCACAGGGAACGGAACCCAGAAGACGGATGCCGGCATCGGGCGGAGGAAATGGCCGGGGACGCTGCAGGAGGGACATCGCGGGAGTGCAGGACAAGGTAAGTGAAAGAGGGATCCCGGAGCAACGCTGCAGGGTCTTCCCGAGTGTAGCTCGGGGTTACCGCTTTTGGTACTGAAAGTTTACCCCAAGCTACACTCGGGAATACCACCAGGGAGGCTAGAGTCCAGTGGTGGTGTGCTTTACACTACTGCATATGATTCTTTGCATTACTCTTGGTGATGTAAGGTTTGGTAGCAGCTACTCGGCCAAGAAAACCCATTCCATGAAGCTCTCTACACACTGTTGTGCTAATCTGAAGGCCACATGAAGATTGGAGGTCTTTAGCTATTGACTCTGCAGACAGTTGGTGACTTCTGCGCACTGTGCGCTTCAGCATGCGTTGACCCCGCTCTGTAATTTTTCATGGCTGATTTGCTGTTGTTCCCAGTTGCCTCCACTTTGTTATAATACAACTAACAGTTGACCGTGGAATATTTAGTAGCAAGAAAATTTCATGGATGGATTTATTGCACAGGTGGCAACCTATTACGGTACCAGGTTTGAATTCACTGAGCCCCTGAGAGAGACCCATGCTTTCACAAATGTTTTTAGAAGCAGTCTGCATGCCTAGGTGCTTGATTTTATGCACCTGTGATCATGGAGGTGGTTGAAATATATGAATCCAATGATTTAGAGGGGTGTCCCAATACGTTTAGCAATATAGTGTATATTCAGAGGATTATATTACAGTAGCATTCTTCAAGAGACAGGATTTTTTGGTTTGCATTAAAAGCCTTAGAGATAATTTCAACACTTTTCAAAATAGAGTTTATTAATGAAAAGGTCAAAATGGTGCAAATAAAATATTTACAGAAAAATGGTGTCACAACGAAATAAAGAGAACAGGCAACAGCAAGACAAAGAGATGGAAAAGGTAAATACTTGCAAGGTCCTTGGTTTAACTAGAGTCCAATTGATCAAGCAAAAATGGTACAGTGGCTCTCTCAAGTCCAGTTAGGTGTTCCTTGGTTGACGTTAAAATGAGAGCTGTCAACTTCTGGTATCAAGGGAGTTTCGTCAGAGACAACCAATTAAGTGGTTGAGGAGTGGTCATGGGGGTGTCACTGTGCTTATGACCGTATCATGGCCCTCCTTTACACACAGTTTTATACTAATATTAATATCTTCCACTATGAACAGGTTGCATTCTGGAAACTGGTAGATTACTGTTCAGCATTATACAGGTATTTCATGTCCAGGGATACCAAACAGAGTATTGCAGATGGGCCTGTTGCCCAGGAGGTAGGAGACTGCTATCTCTCCCTGTGTATGTGCGTGTGTGTGGAGTTTGTTAAGTTGTGAATTGGGCAGGGATCTCGGAGAGGTTGCCCCATGCCGGATAGCTTTCTGGATATACATTTTATGGCACACTGTGTGTTCTTAGCGTTTTAATTGCCCTACAAACTATGGTTACAGAACTGAAAGAGTTTGTCATAGTTTTACGATAGGTCAGAGGGAACTGTTAATCTGTAGATTAACACTCAGCAGAAATGGACAGACATGCCAGAACTCAATTAGCTGGTGTCTGCAGTCCCTTTTGAAGTGTGTTAAAAGTTAAGGATATGGATTCCATGAATTGGAGGAGAAGAGAGGAAAAGGTCGCTGTACTATCCCTTCTTATAACAAAATGGCATAGGAGACTTGTGACTTGAACAAAATGGCTGTTCCCACATTTCAGGTTCCAGGTACACATGGGCATTACTTTCCCTGCCTACTCAGTACCACAGGGGGAGCCTTCAATGGATTACATGCAGGGGAAATGTGGTTACTGATAGAGTACTGTTACCCACAACAACTTTTTAGACATCTTCATCTGCTTCTGTTACCCTTTTCTCTAATCCTCCCAATACTGTTACTACTTTTACAGCAGTACATTTTGGTCAGCACCATGCAGCTGTTTGCAGGACTTCAGTATCTAAACCAAAAAAGAAAAAAAAATTCTGCTCATTCAATCCTGCCATTATCCACTGATGCCTCAACAGCTATTGAGCCCGTTTCAGATTCCATGCTGTCCGTTGATGGGGTTCATTCCTCCTCTATGCTGTCTGCTGATGGGGTCCATTCCTCCTCCATGTTCCTGCTGATGGGGCCCATTCCTCCTCCATGCTGCCTGCTGATGGGGTCTATTCTCCCTTCATGCTGCCTGCTGATGGAGTTCATTCCTCCTTCATGCTGCCTGCTGATAGAGTTCATTCCTCCTTCATGCTGCCTGCTGATGGGGTTCAGCCGGCCTCTATGCCCACTAAATGGGTTCAGTCTGCCTCTATACCTGTTGATGGAGTTAGCGTGCCTCTATATCTTCTAATAGGACCAAGCTTGCCACTGATGACCCGCTGTCCTCTGTCAAGCCTTCTGCTGGTAAACCCACTGTCTGCTGCCAAGCCAGCCACTGGTGACCCACTGTCCACTGCCAAGCCTGCCGCTGGTGACCCGTTATCCTCTGCTCAGTTAGACTATGCTTATTCCCAGGAGGCTGCCCATGCTGACTATATGTATTTACTACTTGCTGCCTTGCCAAACTATGCTGAAGCCGGGCCACTGCCCGGCAGGTCTATGCTGGTTTCCAGACTGCTGTCCAGCCGGACTATACTGATTCACTGCTTACTGCTCAGTTTGACTCTGTTGACTGGATTAAGCTCAGGCTTGCTGATGTGTCTGGGGCTTCCTTTGTCATGTGGCTTGCATGGGTTACCTGTCTGGTCTGAGATCCCTTCTATTGCCTGTCCTGAGTTCCTTTTGCAGTCCCTTGCTACTGTTGCTCCAAAGCTGGGAGGTCCAGATACCCACTTGGAATGTGAAAGCTGCACTCGCTATTACAGCTCCAATAATAGAGGTCTTCTAGGGGAGGGCAGAGTTCCATTTGAACCTTGTCCTGACATAGACAATAATCTCATGTGCATTCGGGGACTGGGTTGGGTAACCTATGACCTGGGTAGACCTGAGAGACATTTAAAATGTGTGGCAGTCTTTAGCTACCTGAATGGGGAAAGTCCAGTAGTGATGGGACACCCTGACCTACCTGTTTGGACCAAGGACTCCAGTGTTCAGTGTTCAGGTTGCCTTCAGAATCCCAGCATTGGGATGTATGCTGCACTAAAGAATTGTAAGCTTTCGATGTTGCGCCTCCTCAGGGATCTGACCAGCAGGGAACCCAGCCAGTTTTTAGACAATAGCAGTGAAGTATTCAGTCAGCCTTCAGACCCCAGCTGTGGGGATCTCAGTCAGCCTCCAGCTCCCAGCAATGGGTCACAGTAGAGGAACTGTCATTACCTGGCTCACCTGCTGATGCCACTGTGCTTTCCTGGGTGAAAAAACTTGTTATTTATGTTAGCTATTTGGTGTGTGCATGTCTTTTTTGCTTACTGATAATAAATATACTTCATTATCCACTCGCCGACCACCCACATAACTTTTACTGCGGATGGGTGGCAGTTACAGGCAAAGTGATACCAATCGCTCTGCCTGTACTAACACAGGGGGTGCAGCACACCCATGACCACTGTGTTCGCTAGATGCATCAAAATGCGGATTCTGGTTAACGGGACCCAGTGATCATGTAATCGCTATGCAATTACATGATCACAATGCTAGCAAAGCTGTTATGAATCAATCTGATTCATAACAACTTTGCTTCTGTTCCTGATGAGCTTTGATTGGCCCACAGCTCTCACATGGTACATGGGCCAATCACAGCACCCTTAAATAGTAAAATTAATAAATAAATATATGTATTTATTTTGAACTTTTTTTTAAATTTTATTTTAAGTTTTTTTTTTCAATTACTTCCCAACCACCCACTTGCAATGTGTGGGCGAGCAAAGGTTCTGGGCTAAGCAACTTACCCTTATGTTGCTTTCTATTTTCGGGTGTGTGTGCACATGCGTGCACCCCCCTCTGCCCCCTATGAGTAAAAGCACTACATTTTACACACACATATTATATTAGCATATTTAACCCTATTAACCCTTTGGTCTCCCAGCCAGTGCCATTAGTGTCAATATATAGACTTTTTCTCTGATCACTGTATTACTGCCACTAACAACATCAGATAGTGTCAGGGTCAGTCAGTGCCCCTCCCAGCCAGGGTCAGCTAGCGTTAGATTGCCTGCACACTATCACAATCACGCTATAGGTCACTGATCACCACCATTACTAGTATAGGGTTTGTACAGATCAATATACTATACTAGTGCCTCCTTAGTATAGTGTCCCCAAAAACACAGGGTTTAGCAAGATCAGACCCATTCGCTGCCAGCACTAGCGTTTAGCCCCTCCACTGTTTTTCACAGAAGATTTGTATTAATTGATTGCGGGCCAGAGCAATTTATACGCACAACAATACATGACCGCCCACCCAAATTAAACTCTTGTCAGACAATTTGCATGGAAACCTACCATAGTTTCTGAATTTAAAACTTTTGGACCTAACCCTCAACATGGGCATTAAAAAAAAGAATTACTTGAGGTCATATTGGTTTACAGACCCAATTCATCATATGCCCATGTTCTCTGCTGTTACATAATGTGTATGCCCTACATGGACCAGCAACATACTGGTATGTCACTGGACTTTGAGTGGTTATACAGGCATCACCCTGATATCTTCTTTTCAGCTGGTGGTCAGTTTTCATGTAAAAGAAATACTAGCAGCTAATTAACCACTGGATTGCTTTTGCAAGCAGCGGGAAGGGACGTTTCCCCCCCGCCAGCTGACTATAGAGCTGATCGGAGACCGGAAAGGCTCCAATCATATCTATAGTCTAAAAAATTGGAAGCTATGAGTATTTCATCATTGCAGTTTTTTCAGGATTTAAACAGTGCCATTTTAAAATTGGGAAAGCATCTGATCACACCAATCTTGGTATGATCAGATGCTTTAAGGGCAGAGGAGAGATCTAACAGACCCCATATTTCTCAGAAAAGAGTACCTGTCACTGTCTATTGCTATTACAGGGGATATTTACATTCCCTGTGATAACAATAAAAATGATTGAAAAAAATGCCCCCCGTGCTCACGTGCAAGTGTTGGTCCAGTGTCAGTATGTAAACAGAGATTTTCCCATGCATGTGAGGTATCACTGCAGACCTCAGATCAAGGGCAGTAATTCTAGCACTAGGCCTCCTGTCTAAATCTAAAGTGGTAACCTGTAAAGGACTTTAAATATTGCCTACGGTTATTGAAGATTTACGTAGTTTGTCGCCTTTGCACAGATGTGCGCAATTTTAAAGCATGGCATGTTTGGTATCTATTTACTCAGCATAACATCCTCTTTTATATTTTATCAAACAATTGGGCAATATATTGTGTTTTTGTGCATTAAAATTAAAAAAAGTGGTGTTTTGGTTTTTTGTTTTTTTTTTCATTTCGTTTGAAAAACGCATTGAATACTGTGTGACATAAAAAAAATTGAAACACCCACCATTTTGTTCCGTAGTGCCTCTGCTTTAAAAAAATATAATGGTTTGGGGATTCAAAGTAATTTTCTAGAAAAAGTGTCAGAAAAGGCTTGGACTCTAAGTACTTAGAAGAGTGAGTGATGTGTGGCATAACCCTCTAATGCTGGGCATAAACGTCCAGGATAGTAGAAGCACTACTTTTTGGAAAGTAAATGTAAAGGATGTATAAAAATATATACCCCCTCAAAAACAAAGTCCATATTATATAGTTGACATGTGCAGCAGCAGCAGCAGCAGCAGCAGCAGGGAGCCAAAATCCTGCTCTGAAAATGGGACATAGTTCCTAGAACACTGCCTGCACAGTAGGGAGAAAAGGAAAAAACAGTAACACGTTTCTGGTGGGAACGTTTATTCAGTCGCACCCTGTTCCTCCAGGCTAATGTATGTCCCACGTGTCTTTCAGCTACCACCTATTAAACACCTCAATTGCACCTACCCCTATCGCACTGTGGAATTTATACATCATAAGTGCAACAAAACTGGCACCCAACATGGGGCTGGGGTGAATAGAGTGCAGAAAAGTCACAGAAGTGATCCCTTGAGGTGGAAACAGTGAGTGAAAGAGAATTGCTGCAATTCCAGTGAAAGAGCCCAAAGTGGAGATAGCTTGTCGACAAAGGGGAACAGAAAAAACGTATAATAAAGACAGCCTATGGTGCGGTGTTATGAAGGATATATGAGAAACTAACCCTTATCGTGCTAGGGGTGTCACACTTACAAATGGAGATAGAGAGCATACAAGATGAAATCAGCCGATCTCTAACTTAGATGACAGTAAGTGAGCTGACTGAAACCTGTCAGTTTATCAAAGCCTCTGAAGAAAGGATGGCTGAAGGAAAAACCCATCACCATTTCATGAGGATAGTCAATGAGTTGCGGATGAACAAGTGGAGACTGAGAATGCAGAGACTGTCATGGAATTTCTACAGGCGACTAGGAAATTAATCTCTGAGCTACAGAAAAGAAATGAGGCACCAAGCGATAGTGACAAATATTCTCAGAATGAACAACAATTTTAATTTTTCCTGCATAGTGTAATACTGCCTTTTAAAATATTCTAAGAAACAGCTATGATGATGAAGGAGCAGATTAAAGAACTCAGTGTTACAAACAAAAATTCACAGAAGTCACAATAAGAAGGGACTTTAAATTTGCAGGTCAGATAGGTGAAAGAGGACAGAGAGACAAACGGTCTTTTACTAACCTTATGCACCAGCTTGATATGGGACTGCAGAGAGGATACTCAGAGTCTGAGACTTTGGAAGCGGTAATAAAGGCCATAACTCCTGGATTAAGTCTTAGGGGTATGCAGGAAACGAAGAATGAGCTGACCCTATTGCAATTGAAAATAATTTTAAAAAGTCGCTACAAGGAAGAAAATGTATCGGATTTGTACCAATAGCTGATTAGCATCTCACAAAATAGCAAAGAGACTCCTCAGAACGTTTTGCTTAGAGCCATTGAATTGAAAGATTGCTTTTTTGTTTCACAAGGAGAAGGTTCAGAAAAACACTTTGGGACTGAACTAATGACAAAAAAATTCCTAAGGTCAGTAGGTACTGTACTGAGAAATGACCATATCAAATTTCAACTAAAACAATATCTAGATGACCCTTCTGTTTCAGATGAGCTGCTCGTAGAAAAAATGAATGAAGCGTCTAACATGGAGATTGAAAGAGAACAGAAGCAAAAGAAATCTCAAGCAAGCAAACCGATAAATCTCAGCAAGTGCCAGTCCAATATTCTATGTTGTACTCAAGAACCAGTTGCTATTACTAGCACAGCTTGCACAGTACCTTTGCCCCAACCACAAGTGACTAGCCAGACAACTCAGCCACACTTGAAAAGATGATACTGCAGATGCAAAAATAAATGTTAGAAATTAAAATGCTTCTTCAAAGTTCAGGAGGTAGACATGATCGAGGGTTTAAAGGGCCGGCAGCAATGCTGAGAACAAGAATAAGGAGTTGTGAGTATTGTGAAAAGACTGATTGGGGAACCACATGTGACCATTGTTTCAAATGTGGTTATTCTGGACATTTGGCAAAAGGATGCAGAGTGACAAAACACAACCAGTTAAACGGGAGAGGGTTGCTGTAGATAGACAGACAGTATCCTACGCCACCCCTGCATCCCAAAGTCCCACACTTCCCTGTACCAAAGAAACTACTACGGCAAATTACCACACAGCGATGAGTACCTTCACTAAAAGTCTATACTCAGAACTGTCACAGAGAACACAGGGCTGCATTACCCGGCACCCACCCCAGACTGCTGATAGGCTGTCGGCCACAATGGACTGTATTACCTCAAAACAACATAAGTTGCTAAGTCTCATTGGGAAAAAATGCTATGCAGGGGCGGACTGACAACTCATGGGGCCCCTGGGCAATAGGGGATCATGGGGCCCCTGTGTCCTTGGCCACACTCAAACCACACCCAAAAAAGTCTATGAAAGGTACCAGGGGCATCTCATGGGGCCCCCTACTGACCCTGGGCCCTCGGACAGTGCCCGAGTCCCTGAATGGTCAGTCCACCCCTGATGCTATGTAAACTGTCCGATAGACAACATTCCTGTCTATGCTTTATGGGATACAGGCTCTCAGGTTAGTATAATCAATGAAAGCTGGAGACAATGATTTTTGCCACACACAGTGCTCAGATAATTTGAAGAATTACTCAAACCAGTTTTACATGGACAATCAGCCAATGAGAGTGCAAATCCCTTCTCTGGATGGGTTGAAGCAACTTTCCAGCTAACATCACGTCATAATAACACCAAGCAGCTATTAGTGCCACTTGTAAGCATCAGAGGACTATAAAGTAGCAGGGAAGCCCATCATTGGCTATAATGTCATTGAAGAAATATTCAAAGAAACATCTGCTGAGAGAAAGAAATCCATTCCAGGGTTTGCGGATGCACTACGAAAAGTTTTAGATCTGTCAACAAATAAAACAGAGGCTCTTGTAAATTTATTACAAGCCAATTGTAGGGAAGACTGTGGTGCTCTACTCAAGACTGGTACCAAGAGCCAAAGAAAATTCCTGCAAATAGTGTAACCCACATCAGGTGTAGTGCCCATACAGGATCCTCTCTGCAAGCTCAGAACGTTCTGTTTACACCGGGTAGCATTCATCATTTGCCTGATGGGCTGTATATCAGTGAAACTTTAGTAGTCAGAGAGGACAGAGAGGACAGTTCTCCAAACTGACAATTCAAGTTTGGAATACAACCAAAAAGGACATTGTTTTACCGGGCTGAACCAAGCTTGGATGCCTTGAGCCAATAAAGACAGCATATCCAGCACAAGTGAAGCTGAAAAAAGTAGGGGATGTGGGTACTCTCTCAGTAAGTTATGATCTGCATGCATCTACAACAAGCTCAGAAACCGAATGGACAATATCAACAAGGTTACTATAATGTAAAAAATCCTCCTGCGCTTATATGGGTGAACCTAACTAATAGCTGCTATCACTCAACTTATACCAATAAGTGAAGACCAATATATATAAAATTAGTGAAGCGCTGATATTAAACAACTAATAATAAATGAACAGTGCTCTATAATAAATGATAATATAATAAAGATGATAAAGTGACAAACAATATACAAACACACTGTGCTCTGATCTCATAAGGATCCAATAAAGTGCAATCTTGTGATGCCCACAACGTACACTTGTGGTAATATTCCGTGATAAAATAAATTCCCCTTTTTATAAACCCCTAAGGGGTTTCCATCGACTTTCTGCACCTTGAAGCATGTAAAGATGAATATGAGTATATCTTAGTGGTAGTAAACCATTTTACAAGATTTGCTCAGGCATATGAAACCAAGAACAAGTCAGCAAATAGAGCTGCAGATAAATATTTCAATGATTTTGTCTTGAAATTTGGATTTCCTACCAGAATTCACCATGATATGGGTAAAGAGTTTGAAAATCAATTGTTTTCGGCATTGGGAAATCACTGCCACATACAAAACTCCCACACAATCCCATACCACCCAGAAGGAAATGGACTAGTTGAAAGGTTAAATCACACCCTATTATCCATGCTTCATACTTTGTCACCAGAATTAAAAAAAAAAAACTTGAAAAGTTCACTTGCAAAGATAGTACATGCATATAATTGTACCTGGAGTGAAGCTACGGAATATTCTCTTTTTTTCTTACTGTATAGAAGATCCCTGAGACTACCCATTGACAGCATGTTTGAGATAGCCAATGAAAAATACAAAACACACTCTGAATATGTGAACACATGGACAAAGAAATTGACCGAAGCTTATGAAGTTGCTTCAAAAACAGCTACCCAAGCTTATGACATTATGACAAGAAAGTTCATGGTACCGGAATAAGACCTGGTAGTAAAGTTTTTGTACGAGATCTTACCGAAGGAGGAGGTCTGGAAAAATGTATATCCTATTTGGAAAATACCATATATGTTGTCTTTAAAAAGGAAGTGTGAAGATAGTCCAGTGTATGAAGCCAAACCCAAGACTGGGAAAGGTAGGGTGAGAATTCTACACCACAATTTGTTATTTCCATGTGATTATTTACCTGTAGAACAAGGTCGGACAATGTCAGAAAGATCCAGTACAAGAAAACTGGAAAAAATGTTGAAGTACAACAAGACTGCTCACACAGATCTCGGAAGATGACTCAGAAAATAAATCAAGAGCATTGGACAGCTTTGATTCCTGTAACTCAAAGCAATCACACCAATACAAACACAACAGGTTTGAATCCAGAAGCTGAAGAGTTCTACCCCTGTCACTTAGAAACAAGTGAGGATGCTACAGAGACAGTTATAGAAGCCAATCTGAGAGATGAAATTGAACTAACTTGAACGTGTTGGAGATGAGAAAGAGCATGATTCAGATTCACTACCTCCAAGAAGAATACAGCCAAGCAGAGACAAAAGACAGTCAAAGATTTTGACTTATGACACTTTGGGTCAACCAAGTACTGTTACCAGACACTCAGCTGTACAGGTCGTGAATCGTAGTCATGCATTACCTGTTTACCCTAACTTGCTGAAGAATCTAAAATTTTGATGAATTTGTTATGTGTAGTGTTTCAAAGGTTATTCATTGTGGCATTGTGCCATGGTTATTTAGTTCTACCAAGTATATTGTGTGTTACTTTCACCTGGTCAGAGATACATGCTTATGATAGAGGGAAAAGCAAAAGCAGTTTAGGTGATGGAACTAGATTAGAGGAAAAAAAAGGGTTGGTCGGAAATGGACATGGGAAAAGAGTAAGCAGATTATGTTATTGGTGGAGATTATCAGCTGACATTGCCAAGGTACATTTAGTCTTCTACTAGTCTCATCTAAGGAAAGGGACAAATGGAAAAATTGTATCCCCTAGCTTTCCATCATCGTTAGTTCACTTACAGTAACTTACACAAAGCTGTGTGAAATGGGTACTAAACAATTTGTTGCACTAGCGAAAAGACATTGCCAGGTACTTCAGTGCGCAATAGGCCTAGCGATAAACTGTAACTTAACTCCGGGAGAAGTTGCTACAGAGAGGATGTTTCCTCAAGCAATCCAGATTGCTACTTACCCATAGCTCCCTGAAGACACTGTAAGACTTCAAGAAAATTATGCTTTATCATAGGCCATCTGTTTATGTCGAGGATGACATAAAATCTTGTGGGGGAGAGTGTGAAGGATGTATAAAAATAGATACCCCTCAAAAACAAAGTTCATATTATATAGTTTCTATGACATGTGCAGCAGTAGCCAGGAACCAAAATCCTGCTCTGAAAAGAGGGCACATTTCCTAGAACACTGCCTGCACAGTAGGGGGAAATAAAAAACAGTAACACGTTTCTGGTGGGAACTTTTATTCAGTCGCACCCTGTTCCTCCAGGCTAATGTATGTCCCACGTGTCTTGCAGCTACCACATATTAAACACTTCAACTGCACCTGCCCCTATCGCACTGTGGAATTTATTCATCATAAGTGCAACATAAACACTTCAAGGTATTTGCTAAGGAGCATGGCGAGTATTTTGCAGATCTCATTTGTTGCCACAAGTTTTTGGAAAATGAAGAAACAAAACAAAAATGTATTTTTTCTTTTCTTTTTCAAAACCCTGTGACAAAAAATGTATACTTTCCAAAAAGGGGTCACTTGGAGGGTGTTTGTACTATCTTGGCATTTCAGGGCCTCTGAAACTGTGATAGGTAGTGAGGAAGTGACATGAGGAAATATGCCCTTTGAAAGCCTGAAGGTGGTCATTGGATTTTGGATTTTTATTCCACATATATCAATTGCATGTTTGAGCAATATATCATTTAAGTGACAAGTTTGTGTAAAAAAAAAAATGCTTTGTCATTTTCCAAAAATCTTTGGTAAAATATAAAATCTTCCATGGACTCAACATGCAACTCAGAAAATTCCTTGGGTTTCCTACTTTCCAAAAAGGGGTCATTTGGGGAGGGTTTGTACTGCACTGGCATTTTAGCACCTCAAGAAATGTGACAGGCAGTCAGAAAGTAAATTCCAATATACAGTACACTATATTGCCAAAAGTATTGGGACACCCTTCCAAATCATTGGTGTTCCAATCACCTCCATGGCCACAGGTGTATAAAATCAAGCACTTAAGCATGAAGACTGCTTCTAAAAACATTTGTGAAAGAATGGGTCGCTCTCAGGAGCTCAGTGAATTCAGGTACCGTGATAGATTGCCACCTGTGCAATAAGTCCATCAATGAAATCTCCTTGCTACTAAATATTCAAAATATTCCAATAGAACACCTTTGGGATGAATTAGAGCTGAGACTGCGAGCCAGGCCTTCTCATCCAACATCAGTGCCTGACCTCACTTCTGGAAGAATGGTCAAACATTGCCATAGACAATTGCCATTTGCTTTGAGTCCAGATGCTTCGAGAGAAGGTTATTTGTCGCATGCAATTTGTAATAGGAAATTAAGATTTTTGCTGCTCATTTTGGCGGGACCTCATTAATGAGGAACTGTTGGGAAGCATTCTGACAGCACAGACTTTAGTTGATGAGGGCAGATTCTCTCATTTAGTGAAATACAGCCTTTAGATCGAGTCTGTTCTGAATTACTATTTCTGGCTTCATCTCGTGACCAAAATGTTTTCACTTTTCCATTTACTATGTTTCAAGCTGGATTTCTGGGATGACTGCTGAAACATTGTACAGTTTTTTTGGGGTTTTTTTTTTGTTTTTTGTTTTACTCTTTATTAGACATTATCTTTCATTTGTTTTTTACAATGCAATTACGCATAAGACACATTACAACCACCAACAATTACAGTTACGGGTTTTGATTGTCTCCAGCTATCATAATAATTAACATGCACATCTAGTGCATTATAAACAAAATATACAGTATATACTCAAAGCAAAAAACAAATTCATATATAATAACTCACTAAGTATAAACATTCCCTCGGTATTCTATTTATACAATTTATATGCTATATATAGTTAGTTTTCTAGGTTTCTGTTACCTAGGCATTTTTGGTTGTGGGTCACTTGATGTTTGTGTGAGCTATTTTGCTGCTGTGTGCAT